ATACATATATCATGGGTGTGATTCGCATATTTATTATTTACTTACTTTATTGCTCACAGAGTCCTCTAAACCTTGCATTCTATCGCCGGGTGAACAAGAAGTTTGCGAGTAAAATATTCGAAATGTGTCAGGGTGAGTATTTGATTTATTGAAGAACGTTTTGCAGAGATCTTCATGCATGAGAAAACGGATCGCAATTTTTATGTGTGGTGATATGTATTGTAGTCGAGTGTGATAGTGTGTGACAATGTGTTTCAGTTGCCCAGTTCATGATCAGTGTGTCCTTGTGGTTGTGCATAGGACTCTTTGTCTTGTTTGCTGTTGAGTTAAGTGATGTTACCCCGCAATTGTCGCTAAAGTATATGAGCCTGTGCGCCTTTGCCACACTATATATATATATGTATATCTGTGCTGACTTTTGAGAATATGAATCGGTTGTGGTATAGCCATTTAATCGTAGACGTTGATTGCTCGGGAGTCTGTAGGGATCATCAAAATGTCGTAATCTTTTGGATGTCTTTGTGCTTTTGTGCCGCTCTAAGTGAAGTTGATCGGCTGCTTATGGTCAATCGGATTACTGTATCTTAAGCTCGTTGGTGGCACGTTCTGTCCAAATTGGTCGCCACAATTTTATGCAATACTCTACAAACAACCAAAATGTAAAGTACGCAAACTATCACGTGGTTGTGGGGATCTCATTGAGTGTTTTTCTCGTGCTCAGGTGCCGGGGGGCCTCGCCTGGGGATGCAGTCTCTATGTGTAGAGGTATGTGTTTCTAACGCTGTTTTATTTACTGTAGACCCCCCAAGGTCTATGTAAAGAGGTATGTGTTTCTAAACCTGGTTTATTTACTGTGAAGCCCCCAACATCTATGTATAGAGATGTGTGTTTCTAAACCTGGGATATTTACTGCGGAACCCCCAATGTCTATGTATACAGGTATGGGCTTCTAAACCTGGTTTATTAACTGTTAAGTCCCCGTCGTCTCTATGTATAGATGCATATGTGTTTAACTCTGCTTTGTTTGCTGCATAAACCCCCGAAATCTATGAATAGAGGCATGTGGTTTTCAACCTGGTTTATTTACTGTTTGATCCTCATAGTTCTTATGTATAGAGGTATGTGCTTCAAACTTATTTTATTTCCTGCTAAACACCAAAAGTCTATGTCAAGAGGTTTCTATTTTCAAGCCTGGATTATTACTGTTGAACCCCCAAAGTCTATGTGTAGAGGTTTTTACCAAACCTGCTTTGTTTGCTGTTCAATCCTCATAGTCGTTTTGTATAGAGGTATGTGCTTTCAACCCTGTTATATTTGTTGCTAAACCCCCAAAGTCTATTAATTGAGGTTTTTGTTTTTAAGCCTGGACTACTACTGTTGATCCCCCAAGGGCCCAAAGTCTATGTATAGAGGCATGTGTTTGTATACTTGGTTCATTTACTGTTACCCCCCAAAGTCTATGTATAGATATTTGTTCCTTAAAACTTGGTTTATTTTTCGTAGTCCATATGCATAGAGGCATGTGTTGGTAAATCTGGTTTTATTTACTTTTCAATCCTCATAGTCCCTATGTATAGAGGCATATGCTTGTAAACCTGTTATTTACTGCTAAACCCCCAAAGTGTCCCTATACTTCTAAATACATTCTCAATCACGTTACACCTGCATATACGAGTACATATCGTGTCCTTGCAGCCACATATATATTTCAAGATACACAAATATAATCATATAAATGCCCATTATAACCCCTTCATCGCAGTGTGTAAGGCGTGTGGCGTGGAATAAAGTCCTGAGTGCGCGCATACGCAACGACCACGAGCGGGTTACCAAACTATTGGAGAAAGACAAAGAGAAGACCTCTGCTGAGCAAGCCACTGCCACTCGCGTACTGTGTTCTATAGCTGGATTCAAAGCGTGGATGAAGGTCGGTTAGGTGGTACAGTATAGCTGTAATGTATG